TGTATTATAAAATACATTAAAAACAAGTAAATTAAAGCAATAAAACCCTAAGCTAAAAAATGGACTAAAAGGCTAAAACAGAGGCTAAAACAGGCTAAAATGCGTCCCCACGGCCTGGGCCGCCAGACCACGGGGCTCTCACCCGCCGTGTCTGGCTCTCTCTCCCTTCCGCCTCTCCATCTCAGTCTTTTATCCTCAAGGCGCAGGTGTCTTGATTGCTCACGTGGGGAGCCGGGGTGCTTCGGGTGGTCCAAGTCAGTAAATAAAAACACACAGCATGCATAAAAAAGTATGAAACACACAGCAACCGTTAAAAGACCCACCACCCCTGTGCACCCTCTGACACTAATGTTTGCATATAGATCGCAAATACAACTATGGCTCCGTGGGATGAGAGCGTAGGGGAAATGAGAAGCCTGTGAGCGAGTTGGGGGCGGTGCAAAACATTCAAACCTTGCAGAAACAGGTATAATCTACTGGTGTTAACAGTCCTGAACTACATTTCCCATAATTCACCTGTTCACACCCCTTCTGTCACAGCCATGTTCAGAGCTGGAGATAACGGGAGCAGAGCACACACGCAGACTGAGCCTCAGCATTGCTCTGATGGGAGAACCCTGAGACTTATTTACAGTTGTAGAAAGAAGATTGAAGACTAAAGTTTTGTATTTACTGTGCCTTAGATTTCCTCTTTTCTCAGGGTTAGGGTTAAGAGTCAGGGTTAGGGTTAAGAGTCAGGGTTAGGGTTAAGAGTCAGGGTTAGGGCTAAGAGTCAGGGTTAGGATTAAGAGTCAGGGTTAGGGTTAAGAGTCAGGGTTAGGATTAAGAGTCAGGGTTAGGGTTAAGAGTCAGGGTTAGGATTAAGAGTCAGGGTTAGGGTTAAGAGTCAGGGTTAGGGTTAAGAGTCAGGGTTAGGGTTAAGAGTCAGGGTTAGGGTTAAGAGTCAGGGTTAGGGCTAAGAGTCAGGGTTAGGGTTAAGAGTCAGGGTTAGGGTTAAGAGTCAGGGTTAGGGCTAAGAGTCAGGGTTAGGGTTAAGAGTCAGGGTTAGGGTTAAGAGTCAGGGTTAGGGCTAAGAGTCAGGGTTAGGATTAAGAGTCAGGGTTAGGGCTAAGAGTCAGGGTTAGGATTAAGAGTCAGGGTTAGGGTTAAGAGTCAGGGTTAGGGCTAAGAGTCAGGGTTAGGGTTAAGAGTCAGGGTTAGGGTTAAGAGTCAGGGTTAGGGTTAAGAGTCAGGGTTAGGGTTAAGAGTCAGGGTTAGGGTTAAGAGTCAGGGTTAGGGTTAAGAGTCAGGGTTAGGGCTAAGAGTCAGGGTTAGGATTAAGAGTCAGGGTTAGGGTTAAGAGTCAGGGTTAGGGTTAAGAGTCAGGGTTAGGGTTAAGAGTCAGGGTTAGGGTTAAGAGTCAGGGTTAGGGCTAAGAGTCAGGGTTAGGATTAAGAGTCAGGGTTAGGGTTAAGAGTCAGGGTTAGGGTTAACCCTTGTATTATGTTGAAAAAAAATGACATTGATTATGTTGCGGGTCATTTTGACCCGTACTGTGTAAATGCACTCAAAACAGTCAAGGTATTTTAGGTTATATAAATATTTAGAAAAGTGACATACAATACATTTTTAATTCCAACACTATATTTAAGAAAGATTTAGTCTAATCCTCTTGTCCTCCTCTCGGGTCAAAATGACAATTCTTCCCTCCTTCTTTCCTCCTGCCATGCTTTCTCCTTCCGTCTTCTCATCCTGTTTTCCTTCTCTCTGTTCATCCTCCTCTATTCCCTTCTTTTCTCTTCCCTCCTTCCTTCCTTTCTTCCTTCTTTCCTTCCTACCTTACTTCATTCCTCCCTTCCTCTTTACTTGACCAAAGATTCGTCCTCTGAAACCTCCTTATCGTATGAAAATTGACAATCTGGATCAGCAATAACATTGTTCTCTGTCTCTAAAAAATGCGCAGTTTCTGAAATCTCTTCCTCTACATCATTATCCCAGTTAAAAATCTGTGATAAAGCCTCCTCAGATGTCATCCTTCTGGAGCTCATTTTGGTGAGTTTGTCTAAAGCCTAGCGCACATGGACAGAGTAACTGGAGACAACTAGTTGCAAGGCGGCTTTTGGCGACTGAGAGGAGATGATGGAGATGATCAGTTGAAATCGGTCGATGTGAGCGCTCTTACAACTGGAGATAAACAGTCGATCTCCGGATTCAGTCAGTTGCCCGTGTTCTACTTTTCGGTAACTATTTGTCCTCAGATCCGGAGATATCACCCGATTTGTGCGCTCTCCAACAACATGTGTGTATTGCGCGCCCTCTACAGTTTATGTCAGAAAACACACTGTAGTTGAGGCCAGTTGTTGTCGATGTATGCGCTGTTATTCCCGAGACTGCCCTGCTAGTAGGAGTTGCCCGTTTTCGCCACATTGTCGCTGTGTGCGGGGCAGCAACTCAAAGGCGACGGATATAATCAGTTGCCATTACGATAAGCAAAAGAGATGACATGAGAACAGTGACAAGGACAAGTGTGAGAAAGTTCCCTCTCTTCACACACCTGGCTCTGGGTCTCAGAGGCAATCAAAATACAATGTCAAAGAGACATGTTTTTTTGGATCTGAACAACTATTTCCCCACATTAAAGCGTCAGGGTCAAAATGACCCGCAACATCATCTTTGTATACAAACTCTGCACAGACATTCCACTACACATCAAAGTGTCCAGATTTTACACACCAGTTCATGACCCTAGATGAGGAAAAGTCACCAAATTTCAGCAAGAAAAAGAAAGGCTAACTAGTACTTTGATCAACACAAAAACTGAAATGGGTCAAATTGACCCTTAACATAATACAAGGGTTAAGAGTCAGGGTTAGGGCTAAGAGTCAGGGTAAGGGCTAAAAGTCAGGGTTAGGGTTAAGAGTCAGGGTTAGGGCTAAGAGTCAGGGTTAGGGTTAAGAGTCAGGGTTAGGATTAAGAGTCAGGGTTAGGGTTAAGAGTCAGGGTTAGGGTTAAGAGTCAGGGTTAGGGTTAAGAGTCAGGGTTAGGGTTAAGAGTCAGGGTTAGGGTGGCGCGAGCAAGATTGAGGGCATCTGATTGGTCAATCCAGGATGGGTGAATAATTATCACAACATAAACAGGGACACAGTGAGCGCAGCTGGAGGAGTTTACTTTTCAATGTAGGTCAACAGGAGCCGAATTGCACTTCTCCGTCGGGCTTCATCGAGCTAGCGGGTTAGCATCGTCCATCTGTATACAGTCTGTGGTCACTGTACGTTTAGTGCTCTCTCCTATTCACTACATGAAAAGAGCCACTCCCGATCTGAGGTTTACACAGCCCATCTTTACACACACACACACACACATATATACACACACACACACCTCGGCATCATGGGAGATCTGGTCTGTCCGGTTCTCGTATTGTTTAATCATGGATTTCATAAGTGCTCACGACATAACAGAACACTTGTGAGGAAACTTAATGATTGTTTAGCAAAAAGAGAAACACATGGTCATAACAAGCTTATGTCTCTGCAAAGCTCAAATCCTTTTATGTTTATGGTATATTTTAAATCTAATTATTGATCTAAAACATGCATTAATCGCTCTAAAAGCTACTTGGAGTGTGACAAATGAATTATTCTGGAACATGGACCGAAGCTGAGTCCTTGTCACGTCCCCTTTAAAGCCCACACAGTCCAGACTATACTCTCACCAAGTTGAGGTGAGTATATTCAAGACTTTGCTAACAGGGAAAAGCCATGTATGTTAGAAATGTGTCATTCTGATCATTATGATGAAGCACACAGTCCCTTTGGAGGTGTTTTGTCATGGTTTTGTGGGTTTCTAAGCCCCGGGCTTTCCACATTCTCTCTTCGGTCTCTCTCTGGTCTCTCCATCACAGACCTGGAGTTGACTTTAGCTCCACCCACCCTACCTCTCCGTTCTGTCTAATTCCTTTATAAATACATGATCTATTTAGGCATTATTTCTTCTCCTTAAAGCTTCTCCAAAACCAAATACACATTTCTTCGACTGTAGGCGAGAAAACGCAAAAAAAGTACCGACAACGACGATATGAAGTTTTGTTATTAAACCTTTATTTAACATTTTTGTTGCTAAAACAGAAGGAATGTGCAAAGAAATGCCGCCCCTTTCAAAACCCAACAGTCTCCATATCTCAGAGCTGCCCACGAGGACCAGCTTTAGCCTCCTTTATATTCACTACATACACATTCTATACAGACTTTGGATGTTTTTTCTTGTGTGCAGATTGTTTCCGATTATGATATACAGCGAATGAGTCATCAGAGGCCAACATTACAGAGCCTCAGACTCACACAGGCCGTTTGTTTGTCGTCCAAACAGTTTGGAAAAACAGTTTGAATTTTGACGTTTTGCAAATTTTAACAGGCATTACATGGATGTATCCACTGTTCTTTACATGGGCGTCTTGAGATGGTTTTAAAATGACCAACAGGAAGTCTAAATATGGATAATTAGATTGTAGCAAGACATGGCTTTGCTCAGAGTACTATTCAAGCTCAGCAGATGGAAAACTACTTTGATTGTTACACTTGTAATTACAGCCGGTGTTAAGTGTTTGGCTCCCATTTCTATATCTCTCCTCTGAATGCAGTTTGTGGCAGTTCTGGTCCAGTTTTTTTGTATCAGTGCAATTTCCCCAACATATTTCCACAGACTAGATTGAAGAAATGTTCAGTTCTTCAACCCCGACCCCCAAATGGACTAATAAAGGGGATTGTAATGAATGAATTAATCTATTATATTATTGTTCAAGTTCATGTACAATAAACTGGTTTCAAATTGTCCCAACAGAAACATCTGTTTTTGCAAATGAGCTCTTCAAATATAAAGCTATGGACCTGCTTCCCTCTGCCAGCAGCATTGGTATGATAACACACACAGACACACACACATATATATATATATCCATATCCATGACACATGATTTATATAGACTCCAGTTTCGCACACATCTGCACCACAGGACCCCGCCTCTACTCCTGGTGCACGCAGACGTACGCTCGCTTGTGCTTGCCGTAGTAGTAGCACTCAGGCTGGAAGCTGTTGGTCTCTATCACCTCCTTGTAGTGGCTGACCGCGTGCACCAGGCAGTTTGGGAAGCTCTTGTTCAAACTCAGCGCCACCTGCATCATGTTCCCGCGCAACTTCTGCCGCTCGATCTGCTCCGCGATCTGCTTCTTGTCTATGGGCTTGGGATCCACGCTGAAGGACACCACCACCTTCACGTTGGTCTTGGTGAGAAAGTCAAACCAGTTAGCGCCCCCGCTCCCGTGGCACTTCTTCCCCGCGAGCCAGTTGAAGAAAAAGATGCGTTCGCGGTTGTTGAAGACGCGCACGGACCAGCACACCCAGTCGTACTTCTTCACCAGCGTGTCCAGCAGAGCGGCAGTGAACTCTGCGGTGGCGGCGCCCGGGTTTTCCTGCAGCTGTAGCTCCACGTCGCTCTGGGCCTGCACCGCAAAGTTCTGCGTACACTCCTCCACTGCTGCCTTCATGCGCGTCTCCACGTCCGCCATGCGCGTTTGCCACTTCTCAACCATCTCCTCGCCTACCGCCTTCTCTGTAAGCGCGGCGTGGCCCATGACCGCAATGATGCCTACCACGAACAGCTTCTTGAGGCGTGCGCAGAAGTCCTCCACGGCCCGGCGGTTGCGGCGCTCGGTGGTCACTACGGTCTCCAACATGGGGTCCCCGGACATGTTCTCGCCCGTCAGAGAGTTGTAGAGCGAGTCCAGGTTGAGGTCGCCGTCCGTGTTCTCAAAGTGGCTGATGAACTTCTGCATCTTCTTCTCCTTGAACTTGGGCTTGGCGTTCACAAAGTCCTGGAACTTCTCGTACTGACTCAGCATCTGCGCCTCGCGGTCAAAGTTCTGCTTGTTCATGGAGGTGCGCTGCAGCTCCAGCGCAATCTGGTCGATCTCGTTCTGGATGCCCTCCAGTTTGCTGTTGACCTACAGAGCCGAGAAAAAACACTTTTGTTTATCATTGTCAGGTACACAACAATAAGTACAGCTGGATCAGCCCATGTTAAATTAACCAATCGCTCCAGCACCAACTCTGATTTGAACTGGTACATTTGACATGAACTGACCCAGTTCAGAAAGTCCTCATAAGGCAAACAAACCAGCACTTACAGTAATTACTTACAAGTGAATACAATCGCATCATAGGTAAGGTGCGTGGTCTTTACTACTCTTCATTCACTTTTCACTATGCCCCAAAAATCATAATAGTGAAGAGTTTATGGACTACTAAGAAAATAAAGTTGTAAACCCATTGGATTTCACTTTAAAGATGGAAATAGATTTACAGCCTTTTGGATGCTCCCCGAGCGGAGGTAAGAGCTAACATCTTTACAGCTAGTCATGTTTGTGAGTGCTTTTGTACGTTATTCTCTGTAAACAGTGAAAATGGTTATTTTTATTGAGCTTTCAGTCATTTATTTGTCTTTGTATAGTGTACCGGCAGACTGCTGGACAGACGGCACGTTGTGGTCTCTCACTGGTTTCTAGGATTATTGCATAATTATCCAGTCACGCGTACATTTTCAGTGCACTCTTGTGAATAGTGTGGAGATTTGGGCACTTCTGCAAAAGCGTGAACAGTGTCTATAAAGCACAAATATATCACAAATCATAAAGATCCAAAAATTGTAGAAGCCTGTACCTGCTCCAGCTGCTGGGTGAGGAAGCGCGCCTCCTGCCCATCAGGGTTACTGAAGATCTCTGAGGAGGCCATGAAGACGGCCTCCAGGACAGGGTGCAGCTGTCCCACTGTGGCCGCCAGCACCTCAGAGGCCTGCCCCATGATCTCCACGCCCTTCTCGATCTTATCCCTGTTCTGGACCAGCCAGTCGGCCACGTTGTTCATCATGATGGAGTCACTGTCAAGAACCACTCCTGAGGCCTAGAAGAAAGAGGAGAGAAGGAAGAGTTAGAGCCAAGATCACTGCTGAGGCCTTGAAGGAGAGACCAATGGCTTCTCAAACACATTCTTAAATATGGTTGCACACAAACATTTTATTGTTAAAATATATATGTAGCTAGCTGTATAGGAGAATGTGAGCTCACCCAATCAATTGTCTCAAAGTGTGATTACTATGTCTGGGTTTGGGACCAGAAAGAGGACTCGAATGTACGTCAGGACCAGGACTTGAGGTGTAGTACTAGGACTGAGGGTGTGAAACAAGACCAGAATTTGGGGTATAGGACAGGAGCCAGACCAAGACTCGGGGTGTAGGACCAGACCAGATCTCGGTGTGTGGGACCAGCTCTTGGGGTGTGTCCTCTGAGCTCACAGTCCCTGGAGGAGGGCGGGAGTCCAGTTACGTAATCACTTCTGCATCATCACATCACATTACAACACATGTCTTTGGGTCCAGAGCATCTGTGTTTCCCAAGAAAAAACTTGAGTATTCGGACATAAAACAAACGTATCAACCCTGCTTCTGGCGTGTTTCTGGGGACACTGTATGACCAGAGGCAGAGCCGTGTTTGCATTGGGGGCAGTCAGTCAGAGCTGTTCCCAGTGTTGGTCTCCCCCAGGGCTGCCCTTTGTCATCACTTTTGTTCACTGTTTTATGAACAGAATGTGTAGGTGCAGCCAAGGACCAGAAGGAGTTCTAATTAATGAACCTAAAATGTTATGAGGAATAAAGGTCCTCTACAAAAAATCTCCATATACGCAAATAAAACACTGGATATCTTCGTGTTAGTTTTACATTAAAATACGGAAGAAGCTTTTAGCAAGAGAAAATCAAAAATGAAACACGTACAAATGGATCTGGACCTTCACAATAGACCTATATCCCAATGTGGCCCCCTCAAAGAAAATAATTACCCACGCCTGGACTAGAGGGAGCTACAGTAGTTCAGGGACCACAGGGGCCAGAGGGAGTCCTGTTTGGGGACCAGAGATGGTAGAGGAGCCTAGATTGGGGACCACAGCCAGGGGCCAAAAGAGAGTCCGGTTTGAGCCGAGGGTTCTGCTACTGGACCAGAGAAAGGTGTGTAAGGTCATGATCTCTGCGGAATGACCATTTAATTGTGGCAGATGTTTTGGGCGTGTCCCATCGGTAAGAGGTCTAGGGGACAAGACACTGAAGCCTCAAATTCCTTCAGTTGAACTTTTTTTGAGAAGTAACGTTGTGTTGTAGTACTGTAATATTTATAGTTTTGCCTCAAACAGATGTGAGAGAGAAGTCGGTCCAGCTGCAGCCTGGTTCCAATCAGTGTTTCTTCATATTATTACAACAGCAGTGTACGTAACAGCGCTCTCCCACATTACTCACTGACAATCCCCCCTGAACCGGTCCAAACCTGGCCCAGACTTGGTCCAGACGTGATCCAGACCTGGGGGGTTCACTGCAAGAGGCTTATTTTTACTGGCCCACCTGCTACGTAGGACTAAAGCCTTAATATACAAGACAGAACATTCAAAGTCTCCCACAAAGACTTTTAACCATAAACCGGTTCAGTCTCTGGGGTTATCAGGGGCTTGCATTGATTAAAGCTGGGGGACCTGACTTTCAAACTGCAAAAAGAGAAAGTTAATGTTGAAATAGCGCCAAATCATATGTTTTTGCCATTACACTACAGCTTTAAAACAGCTTTAGAAAGAAAAGAGAGACAGCAACCTTCAACAGCCCAAAGAGGCGCATAGTGACTACATAAAGCTCTGACAAAGTTTTTCTGTGAGGAAAGTTATGTTAATTATTAAACTCAACGTTCTGCTAAATAGTCTTTCTAAAAACAACAGCTCTGGAGTTGTTTTTTGCTCCATCCAGGCTAGTATCAGGAACTTCTTGCGCAAACACGTCCCTCCGCCCATTCTGTCTAAACCATTCATGTTCAAAGCAGATCCCGGTCTTCGGTCTCATGTGGTCCTCTGCTGCTGACCCAAAGAATCACTGAGATCATAAACACAAGTCCACGGTGTCATCCAGCCAACTCCTGCTTCACCTAAGACTAAAACTATTTATTGGTAATCGAGGGACAAAATGACAACACTGTTTCTCATCAGTTACAGACGTGAAGTTGTTTTTAGATCCATCCATGCTAATATCCTGGACTTTTGGCACAAACATGTAGCTCCGCCCCTTCTGTCTCTAAGCTTGTGTCTCAGTCCTGTATGATGTCATTGTACCACTATGACATCACACTCTGAGCTGACTGTCTTGGTAGTTTCTCAGGTAAAATGTCAAGTACATGTCTGTGTGTGCAGCTGGTAAATTTCAAAGATCATTTCACATTCTTAAACTGGAAATGACAGGTGAGAATGAAGCAGTTTGTGAAAGAAATTTGCAAAGGTTTTTCCGTGATCATTATTTGAATAAGTTGCCGTGTTTTATGTATGTCGAGAGAGAGAGATAGACCTGAGAGAGACCAGAGAGAGAGAGAGAGACACCAGAGAGAGAGAGACCAGAGAGAGAGAGAGAGAGAGAGAGAGACACCAGAGAGAGAGACTAGAGAGAAAGAGAGATATATCAAAGAAAGAGAGACCAGAGAGAGATCAGAGAGAGACCAGAGAGAGACCAGAGAGAGACCAGAGAGAGACCAGAGAGAGACCAGAGAGAGACAAGAGAGAGACCAGAGAGAGACTAGAGATTCTCATGTCTGAAAGTCTTTCCTTCACTTTACTTTGGTGACTTTATTGTGGTGACAATATTCTGTTTTGAATATTGTCACCACTTATACACAACTTTATGAGAAAATAGTGAGACATTGTTGATTTGCGCTGATTTGTGACCGTTTTGTTTTGTGTGGATTGTTCCCGTTCTTTAAAACGACTAGAATCTGACTTTTGATACGTTTGACATCTTTGATACTGTTTCAGCTGCTCCACCACAAAGTGAAACTATTTTAACATGCTGATGTCACATAAACACAAACTGTTGAAGAATTAGTTCAAATCGATCTCAATGGTTTTTATACAGCTTGTTGAACAGTCTAATAGGGTTATGAGTTAAAATATGATACTGAACTCTGATGATGAACTGTATCTAGTGAGAAGTCTCTGTCCCTTTCCTCTCTTTTCTCTCTGCGACGAATGGATCCTTCACCGCGGATCATGTGAACGTCACAGAGAAATCAAGTCTTCAGTGAAACAAATCTAAACAAAAGGCTGAGTCAGGGTGGTCCTCAGTTTTGACTTCACTTTAATGTCTGAAAAAGCTGAACTAAAAATACATGCATCTGAAAAAGTTTGCATCTGTCACATCTTTAGATCAACTTTTTCAGACAGAAAAGTTTAAAAGAGAAGACCACAGACACTCAGCCAATCAGCTCTCGGTCCAAAGAGTCAAATTGTGACTCACAGGGATCATTCTTACACAAAAGATGTTTTCTAATGAGATGAAGACTGCATGTTGTGGTCTGATTTGTTCATAACATTTTATTACTGGACAATCTATAGAATTTTGAATGTTAAAAACCTCTAAATCAGGGGTCTCCATCTTAAGCCAGGGAGCTACCAGTATCATGCCACCCTCTTGCAGAAGCTCCCCCAAGGACAAACAACTGTTGTAGATGCAAATAAAAGCTGTACAAAATCATATGACAATTAGTAACAGACCATTTTCCCCGGAGGGTTAAGGAGTACGTAGCTCACAGTCATTTTGGTACTGAGAAGGTTGCTCTCTGGGTAAAGAGAAACCTGCTCTAAATATTGTTGTTAAAATTATTACCAAATTAATAGGATTTTGGCCACATTTCCTAATCCGTCCCAAAGCTCTTCCTCCTCTCTCCGGTTTTCTCCTCATTCACCTGTGGCTCCCGTGGTTCCCACACTCTGACAAAGCGGGTCGTGTCAGCACTCGCATGGATCCGGTTTCGCGCCGCGCCCCACGAGAGCGCGCAGGGACGAGGACGCGCTGCGCCTCTGGTGACGGCGGCGCGAGAGTCACCAGCACAAGAGATTTATGAGGAGGAGAGATTTACGAGCTGTGTTTAGCAACGCCGCAGTGCTAACAGAGAGGAGGAAGAGGAGGAGGAGGAGAGGAACAGGTCCAGAGGAAGAACCAGGACCACTGTCAGGGACATAACTCATGTGGTTACAAAACCTGGGCCTCTAACCCGTCTTGCGGTCTTGTCTTTGTGCCGAGGCGTTTTCAGTGAGCACACTGACCAGATATAGTAGAAGAGACTTAGGACACAAACCCACGGCCAGGTCTACATTACAGCGAGCAGGTCTCTTCTCGTAAGTCGCGTGTACATTGGGAGTGTTTGACCACAGCAGAAGTCATTCAATCTGCAGTGTGTGCGTTTAGCTCTTTAAAGGTCTAGATAGATAGATAGATACTTTATTGATCCCGGTAGAAATTCAGGTGTCCAGTAGCAGCAACAATAAAATTGATCATTCTAAAAAGCTAATAATAATATTAATCAGCCACAGGCCTTCAGGTCACAGCAGCAGAGGTGGAATGGTCTCTGGGTGGAGCAGGACAGGTCACAAAGAGGAGTAGCCGCTTGGTTTGGACCATTTTCTCTGCTCTAGTCCAAAGTAAAAAGCTAAATGCTTCATTAACATTTTTCAAAGAGTTAGCATTCCTCCAGTGGATTTTCACCTGATCCGCTTGGTTTGGAACATGAATCCTCTCTGCTCCGGTCTGGACCAGTGTAAAACCATGAACACTGTACTGCAGCAACATCTCAGGTAGAAAAAAGCAATAAAATTCAAATTGTAAACAGCTACTTATAGGACTGGCTGCCGTTTTCCAGCGCATTCAAAAGTAAACCTAAATCTACAACATCAGGTTTAGCAAAGGACATTTGAAATCACAAAGGAACATACTTAAGCCTTGGGGTCACATCATGCAGGACACAAACCTCAGAATGTGGTGGTAACCCGGACGATATGACCTAAATATTATATAGATAGAGACACTGATCCCGGTCGGTTAAATCCAGGTTCAGCTTCCATCCAAACAAATACATAAATACAGTATCACGATATGAGAAGGAAGCATTTTGATAATGATAGTCTTGATATAAACAGCGCCATGAAAAATGTTAAACTGCAAAACTTTATTTAAAAAATTAGTAAATCTGTCTTATCTCTTAAATACTTCTATCACTAGTTTTCACATGTATTTCTGGCCTCTGTTACATCTTTAGATCCGTTTTTTTTCAAAGTGAGAAAGAGTGGACCACCCTCGCCCACTTTACTTTTTCCCTGTTGAAAAAAAAAATATTTTCATGAAAACCTAAAAAAAAAGTGAGGTACTCCAGCTTTAATGCAGAGTGGTTTGTGTTAGAATGTCCAGCTGGGTTTGATTCCACCTGCAGACAGGGCCTTTCTGTGTGGAGTTTGCGTGTTCTCCCTGTGTTCCCTGCATAATGTTTCCTCCAGGTGCTCCGATTTACCCTAAAAACATGTCCTTTAGCTCTGAGTGTAGTGAGCAGATGGTGAGGGTCCGTGAGTCCAGTGCGCCAAAAGTGAATGGACAAAACAGTCATTTGTTCAGCTCTTTCTGTGACCGTGGTCTGTTAAATGCACTATATAAATAAAGATTACTGACTTAAGAATTGATTCCACATTCTAAAGCCTGAAACAACAAAGTAAATATGTTTTCCACAGACGTTTGGGACGGACTCCAGTTTCACCTGTTGTGTGAGACGTGCTGGTACTTGTAGCTGATCCTCGCGGAATTTCAAAACGTCTCATTGATCGAAACCACATGAACTATCTCTGTAAAATAATTATAAGCCAAGTTCTAAATAATTTAAAATATTAAGCTAATCCATTTTCTAAAAAAAATCTAAAACTATTCTATTTCAAGAACTTCTGCCACAAATGTTTGGGTCACAGACAGAGATGTTTTCTGTCATTAAACTCTTGTTGTTATGTCTGGGCTCTTTCTCACGTTCAAGCATGTTATAAATGTCTTGTATTGGGGGTGGTTGCTCCAGTAGATTGTGCTACAAGCCCAAATTAGACATAATGTTAAAAAATCATGAGATTGTTTACTTCTTCATATCATATTTTAAACTGTGAAATAATATCATTCAGTAAAAAATAAATAGAGAAACAAGTGTGAATGGTAAAAAAAAAAACAATCGTTCTGCCTGTAACTCCCTATGCTGCCACCAGGGGGAGACGGCAAACTGACATGTGATTGTAAAAATGACACCAGAACAAATTTAGGGTTGATATTTTGGTTTTAAACGACCGAAAACTGCACTAAGTGGGATGTCATAGTGGTACAATGACATCATACTATTACACGGCTGATGCTGTGTTCATGTGTTCTCAGAAAAGACAGAATTTTCAACTTCCCACTCAGATAAACACTGAAAAACTCTGAATTCAACTCTGAAACTCAAGGTTGAAATTCGGGCTGAAAAGTGTGTGTGTGTGTGTGTGCACGTGTGTTTGTGTTAGAAAGCATGAGACAAATAAATAAATAAATAAATTGAGGAATAATGTTGGAATATGGAGAAAAGAGAGCAAAAAGTCGTGCCCAATATGTCTCCTTTAAGTAGAAAACATACAAATAAAATAGTCATTAATCTTGTAAAACAGCTGCACATCAAAGAAGAGGGAAAACGTTCTGATGAATTTAGATGTAAAACTTACATGGTGTGATCGAATTGAAGGCACATAGTTGTAAAAGCACTAAAACTATTATTTAAAAAGACAGAAAACCACTTTGACTCAGGATTCATCGTAGTGCAACAAGTTTGAAAGTAGAGGATTTGGACAGAAGGGGCGGGTGTTGGTGCCAGACCTGGACCTAAAACTCAATGTCTGCGTTTGATGATTAACAATGTTGCAACATGGTCAAAAACTCCCCCCAAAAGATTCTGCGTAGGAGTTCTCTGGTTCAGGGGCCATTTTCTCTCTTTCTGTTATCAGCAGAGAGAGGCACCCAGCTCCAGGACACACCCAGCTCCAGACTCACCGCGGCTGCACTTGTCTGCGAAACATTATCACACGGGCCAACTATGTCTCGCCCCTTGCTTCAACTCTGCTCTGATGGCCACGGGCAGCAAGTAGATCAACCAAAACTAATCTACTCAAAACACCTCTGAAGACCCAACCAAAGACTAGAATAACAGTGAGGAACCAACCAAAAAATAAAACTTAACTTGGCTGTAAAGAATAGTAAATAAACAATTAATCTACCAAAAATGACTTATATGAATTAAATTTTCTAGACTGATCCAAAAAAATTCACCCCCCTCAGCATTGACACACATGTGGAACATAGCGTTGGGCCAAGAGCCAACTTTCGGACAATCCTGTAAAGGTGTTTTCGAGAGGTAAGAAGATGCTATATTTTAGCATTGGCTAATTCTTATTCCGGGTCCACCCCCATCGGCCCAGGGTGGGATTGCAAGCATGTCAGCGCACGTCACTTTGGACACTTTTGAGCCGTGACCCGCCCCCGCTGGATACAACCAGCCAAAAGACGAATAATTCTACCAAGACAACCTGTAAGATCATCTAAAAATGAAAAAAAATATCCTTAAATGACCTCTTGCACCTGTACATCCAACCAAAGAACCAAGGAATCTATCCAAACCATGTCTTACACCTGTAAAACTAACCGAAGAACCAACAATTTACCAAAAATACCTGGCCTATAGTATAATCATATCTACCAAGACCATCTGGAAGACCAACCAAAAATATCCACTCAGAAAACCTTTATACATCTTTACAACCAGCTAAAAGATCAAATAATTCTACCAAGAACACCTGTAAGATCATCTACAAATATCCATGACCTCATATGCCTGTACAACCAACCCAAGAACCAAGGAGGAATCCACTTAAAACATGTCATAGAGATTCAAAACCAACCAGAAATCAAAGAAATTTCGCTAAAATACCAGGCAAAGACCCAACAAAATCCATCAAAACAGAGCTTACAACCAGCCAAAAGACTTCTAGATCACCTGTAAGATCAGCTAAAATACTTCTTACACCTGTACACCCAAGCCAAGAACCAACAATGCTACACCAACCCTGTCTCACATGTGTAAAAACCAAGCAGAAGTCTCCGATCTCACATCTCTAGAACCCTCCAAAAGGCCCTTCATGTCCCTGGGAACACGCCTTACCCTCAGTCCTGGAGAGCTCTGCACGTCCACTCTCGCGGTTCACTAATTGACGACCCAACGGTGCATTTCTCCGCACTCCCTCTCCGCATCACTTCTCATTCTGTTTGTGTTTGAAATATGTGACGGAATTCGAACAAAAACAGAGACATTATGCAGCAGCTTCTCCCTGTGCACAGACGCATTCCAGCTGGCAGAGCGGGCGGTGCATAAATTAGCAGTTACAGTTGCGGGTTCGATTCTAAATTTAGGATTTCCCGGCTCTATACGCCCTGCACTTCACCGCCACGCCGAGAAAACACATCATCTGCACTTAGAACGGCTCGATAAGTAAATAATCTACGCAAATAGAACAAGATATTGTTTTAATTTCCAAACAGGAAATGTAATTGAATTTGCTTTGAGAAATGTCTGGGCCTGTTGTAGATGGATAGATGGATAGAGATTAAGCAAGACTAGCTTTAGAAGGAACAGAAAGCAATTATTTTAAGTATTTTAAAAACTCACCCAGAGATTGTAATTTAAATTCCCACTGCCTTTTATTGGAGGTAATTGAAATGAAGTAATTATAATCCTGGGAAAGAGGTGATGAGAGGGTAGAATGATAGAATTCCAGGGTTTTTGTGGTAAATATGAGACGTCCAGAGTTAGAGGACTGAGCTGGTCCGAGTCCGAGCCTGGAGTGGAGTGTGTTCTCTGGGGGGTGGATGTGCACTGCCTCCCCCCCCCTCCTCCTTCTCCCTCCCCCCTCCTCCCCCCTATGGTCACTCCCACACGGCTCCACGGCTCCTCCCAGCATTCCAAATGTCCCACGGAGCTTTCACATGTTTCACTGGGATGAGGAAGAGGAGGAAGAGGCTGCGTTTGTGACGTTTGCCCGATAGAAAGAGTAAAAGGTTGTGAACTAATCAGGCCATATGCTGTCTTTATCTCAATGGAAAACATGTGATCTTTGCTGTTAGAAAGATCCCTGTGAGGCACTATTTGACTCGTTGGGCTGAGAGCTGATTGGCTGAGTGAGGGTGGTCCTCTTTTTTCACTTCTCTGTCTGAAAAAGGTAATATTAAGTGACAGAGGCCAAACCAAGAAAACTAATTATAAAAGTGTTTTAAAGCCCGGGTCCAGTGACAAGGATTTTATTACAGAGTTCTATTGTTGTGGTCTGAAAGTTACGTACCCCAGCTTTAAGCCAACTGGATAACATTACATTTAAAATCTCAATCTATTTACTTAAATTACAAATGTGTATATCGGTTTTACCTCTATTTAGAGTGTGAAGCCAGATCCCATCAGATCTCTGAAGCTAAGCAGGACAGGGCCTGGTTAGTGCTGTGATGGGAAACCTCTGGGAACACCAGGCCTTTAAAGTGCGAAATTGTTGTTGTGTTCTTTGGCAAGACACTGTATGTGAATGGTTGGTGGTGGTCACTGACGGGTTGTCCTGCTTTTGTCAGTGTGCCCCAGGGCGGCTGTGGCTAGTTCATCAACACTGTGTATGGAGTGACTGAATATTTCTGGGCTAGATAAAACCATCCATCCATCCATTTTTTACCCCTTATCCATTTCTGGGTTGAGGGGTGGCCAGAGATGCCACCCAGTACACTTAACACCAGCCCCTCACTGACTCAGTCACCCCTGCAGGTGGTGAGTGGTAACAATTATGGACTAGATAAAACCAGTGCATTATTATTATCATCATTATTAATATGTTTTTTGTATTAGTTTTGTTTAAATAACAAAATTCTGTATCAGTTTGCTTTCACTTTTTGGCCTTTTATCCATATTTTAATACATCTGTTTGTGGCCCTTTTGGAAGCTGTACATATTGACAGAGCTGCTGCTGACGACCTGCACACGATCCATTTATGATCAAACAAATGTGATTATTTACATATTTCTAGCACATCATCACAGAACGGAGCAGGAGAGACAGCGGCGACAGAGAGGGACGAGCCTCCACACCGACACAAAGACCGGCCTGTTCTGACCGCAGTGTCGTTGCCATGGTGACGGGGCCAGTCCTCTGCATAGAGTTGCTGCAGGGAGCAACAAGAGCTGGTTTAAAGCTGGGGTACCTAATATGAGATTTCATAACACTTTGAAGCAACTTTTGTTAAAGTTAAACTCATCATTCTATCAATGTGCAGAAGCCTGTACTTTTCCCTTGTTTTGTCTATCTGAAGGCCAAGCTACAAGCACACCGTGGAAGCTGCTGATTGGAGGTCTCCATGCCTCCGCTCTGTATAATACACTTGCATTCTCTTGTATCTTTGATCGTGTGCTTTGTTCGTGCTGTCTCTACCATTGACAATAAAACATGTCTTCTGTCTGAATGAAAGACGCGATCCCAGACTTGGCACATCCTCTTCAGGTGGTGGAAGGATGCGGGCCTTGTCTGTAACATCTAGAGAACAGAAGACTACTTTTTTTTTCTTGGCATAAATAACACATAGTTTATTCAACTTCTGTCTCTAAAGAGGTGATAGAGGCCAAACTAGAACCAGCCCCAGACCCAGACCTAGACCCAAACCGAGACCAGACCAAAAGGCGTAGACCTAGACCCAGACCTGGAAGAGACCGAGAAAAGACCAGACCTAGAATCAGACCCAGACCTAGACTAGAACCAGAAAAGACCAGACCTAGACCAGTACTAGACCAATTTTGTTTTCGAGCCAAGAATTAGCTAAGTTGAACTCATAAGTTTGGGAACCCCTGCTCTAGATTCCGGACACAGACAGCTCTGTTTGAGACTGTGACTGATGCGGTGACACGCTGTCCTCATCGACCAATCACAGCGCAGCTCTGCAGGCAGTCATGTCCCCACAATAACATCACTACTGTCAGAAATGTAAACTATAAAACACATGTATTTTTATGTAGTAAAGGACTCCACGAGCTCCACTATGGTCTGTGTTTGGAATCTGGAGCATGGGTTCCCAAACTTATGAGATCCACCTCACCCCCTGCAGGATGGAGGCTGCAGTAATAGTTTAAAATGTCAAGTCATCTTAAAACCCGTGTGCTCGCCTCAGGTCAAATTGACTCGCCAACTTTGATGATTTTTTTCTAACTTTTCCAGCTCGCCCTGGGTCATTTAAACAGGAGAGTGAGAAAGAGTATTTTTAACCACTTTGGCGGCCATTTTTATTCCCAAGGGAAGCAGAAATGTAAATTTGCAAATGTATTACAATGTGGTTTTACTTCAAATTAATCTGATCTTAATCTTTAATAAAATCCATGTCACTCGATCCTGGCTCTAAAACGACTGCTTTTCAGACAGAAAAGTGAAAAAGAGACAACCAGCCTCACTCAGCCAATCATGTCTCAGCCCACAGCAGTTGGGCTGAGTTGGGCTGAGTTGGACAAACAGGAACGTTTGGTAAGTCATCATCATCATCATCATCATCATCAAATTGGTAACCGTTTTTCTTTAGATCAAATCCACCAAATGAGGTCCTGACCAAACTCTGAGGATTAGATTACAGAATAGACACTAATCCAAGTAACAAAAAGAGGAGGGGAAAATATTGGTAAAATGGCTGAAAATAATATACAAACAAATTATAATGGTGAATATAAGGGTGATGATAATAATCCTGACAAATTCAAACTGGGAGGAAAAACGACAAAATAATGTATCCAAAAAGTCCAGAGGTGAGTGAGTCAGCGCCAGTGGAAGAGGGGACGTCCTCTGGGCCAGGTTAAACCAGGAAGTGTGTGCCAAATCTTTTCCACTGAAGGAAGAGCTCTGTAACATGGAAAAACCCTATATATGAAATGTGCTATACAAAAAACTTGTCTTTCTGCTGCATCTGTGTGACGAGTTGCGGTCCCAGTGCAGACCCCTGAGGGACCCCTGGGACCCTCAACTTTTGCTCCAACTCTCTCTGGCTCCAATGAACTCACAGTAAAAAAGTAAAATCCTCTAGCTCAGAAAATGTTTGTGTCACAAAATCAGTGGTTTATTGCTCTTTGTGATCATGTTGTTTATATTGTATTATCGTCTTTATAAATCCAGATATGAGCCCTATCAACAGACCAATCAGGAGGTGGAAGGTGGACAGACAAAGTGACTAAGAAAATCTGGTTCTGTTGCACATTGTGACTTTATTTCAAATGATTGCACATTATGGCAATTATTATTATTGCAGAGTCTGAGTCTTGGTCTGAGTCTTGGTCTGAGTCTTGGTCTGAGTCATGGTCTGAGTCTTGGTCTGAGTCTTGGTCTGTGGTCTCCTTGATCCTGTGGGAACTCTTCAGGATATTACTCACTGTTTACTCAGACTGATGGAGCCGCTCTGGGGGATTAAGACTTTCACTCAGCTGCAGTTGAGCGAGATAATCCCCTTTAGTCCAATTTATTTGAAGATATCAAGAAAAGTCAATTAACCCAGAAAGACACACACACAGAAATTAACACACACAGTAGATACTGAGACCTTTTTGAGTTGTCCTCCACGTCCCAACACTGCCCCCTATCAGTCACAGACCTGCAGTCGGCTTATCCGCGCTAATATCCGGAACATCGAGGATCAAATGTTGTGTTGTTTTAACCTGTGTCGACTTTTTACCACATGGAAAAGGAAAGGGTAAAAACAAACTTCTCACTCTCAAAATAAGTCACAATGCAGTGCACCCAGGATCAGAGAAGACCAGAGAGAGACCAGAGAGTGACCAGAGGAGACCAGAGAAAACAGAGAGTGAGCAGAGAAACCAGAGAGAGACCAGAGAGAGAACAGAGAGTGACCAGAGAGAAAACAGAGAGAGACCAGAGAAAACAGAGAGAGACCAGAGAGTGACCAGAGGAGACCAGAGAAAACAGAGAAACCAGAGAGAGAACAGAGAGAGACCAAAGACCAGAGAGAGAACAGAGAGACCAGAGAGTGTGACTAGAGAGAGACCAGAATGAGACCAGAGAAAGAGACAAAAGACAGTGCAGCGAGAGACCAGAAACCAGGCCAAACTCTGACGGTCATTGCTTCACTCACCCAAACACGGCTCCACGGCTCGTTACGCTGTCACTGTCCCTTGTGTGACTCGAGTGTAGCTTTAGAACCCTCTTCCCCTGAGCCGCGTGTAAACAACGAGATAGAAACACTTTGCTTCGATTGTGAATAAAGTGACAAAATGAAACACAGATAATGTTGAGCCTGTCCTTGAACAGAAGCAGCAGTGTTGGAACTCTGTCTGGACCCTGAGGAAGAGATAAGAGAGAATTTCTGTAGACAAAAATAATTCAAAACACAGCACAAGGCGACACTACAGCCTTGAGTCTGGAGGGAAAATTAGCAAAAGAAATAACTAACAAAAAATTGGTAAAAAAGAACTAAAACCAAAGGGAATCTATCTAAATGCTTTCTCATGCATTGGATCAACTGCAGATGGTTTGATTGTAAAATTATAATATATTGGTTTTATTTTGGTATTTGGACGCTCAAGGATGCTCCACAGCCTTATTCTTTAACTCCATAACTACTATTATAGCCACAGCTGCCCTGGGGCCCAATGACAGAAGCGAGGCAACCAGTCTGTGCCATCCACCCCTCCCACCACCACCAACCATTCACACACACATCAGACTCAATCTAATCTGGGTGAAGTGTCTTTCCTTGACACACAATGACCGTTTGGCGCTTTACAGCCGCCCTACTGTGACACCTGGTGTTCCCAGATGTCTCCCATCACAGCCCTAACCAGGCCCTGTCCTGCTTAGCTTCAGGGGTCTGACTGAAGGCGCCACTATAACAAAATAGACTGGTAAAAAGAGATATTCGGCTTCTATAATCTGTGCTCATTTGTCCCTTATCAAATACTTGAGAATATTTTTTTTTTTTCTTCTACAAAATCTTTAAAAATGTGGTTTTGATCTTGATTTGAGTAAATGTTGATTTTCCTTTTGGGGATGGAAAAAAACCTATCTCGGCCTCATCTTTCTCACACTTGTATAGAACAAAATATGAGGAATAAACTCTCTTGGAAGGCTGATCTGTTTAAGGTTTAAAACAGAGCAGAAAACAGGATTTGTCCTGGTTTAACGAGTTTGAGAACAGAGCGTTTCGACAGAAGGGGCGGGGGCAGCTCCAGATGTCGGTGTGGAAGGATGAGGAAGAGTGGAACATGAGCAACAGATGATTTTGCAGAATGTGTCGTGAAGTGTTGAGGTATTTTTCCTGTTTCTCACTCGTCTGTTTGTGCAGTTGGAAAAAGGTTTGCCCTGGAAACACGTGCAGCCTCCACTCCCAGAGTCTGGGTCTGGGGTCTGGGGGCTGGGTCTGTTGACTGGGTCTGGTGTCAGGGTCTGGGGACTCGGTCTATTGACTGGGTCTGGTGTCAAGGTCTTGGACTCGGTCTATTGACTGGGTCTGGTGTCAAGGTCTGGGACTCGGTCTATTGACTGGGTCTGGTGTCAAGGTCTTGGACTCGGTCTATTGACTGGGTCTGGTGTCAAGGTCTGGGGACTGGGTCTATTGACTGGGTCTGGTGTCAAGGTCTGGGACTCGGTCTATTGACTGGGTCTGGTGTCAAGGTCTGGGACTCGGTCTATTGACTGGGTCTGGTGTCAAGGTCTGGGGACTGGGTCTGGGGACTGGGTCTGGCTCTGGCTCTGGGGTCAGGCTCTTGGGTCCGGGTCTGAGCCTGGGGTCTGGGTCTAGCTCTGGGGACTTGGCTCTGGAGTCTGGGGTCTGATGTCTGAGTTTTTTCTTGTCTCATCTGTAAGGACATCACCAACGACAGTGAAAGTTACTTAAAGTTAATTTTAAAATAGGTCCAAGGTCTGGCCTAAACCCAACCTGATGTAAGACCGGACTAGACCAAATCTAAACCAGGACTAAATCTGTGCTCTTGTGACATCAACACGTTCCAAAAAGAAACGTCTCTCCTGGTAACTATGGTAACTGTGATACCTGTGTAGTCGCAAGTGTCAAAAGTCAGATTCTGGTCTCCGTTCAGAGCTGATTTCTCTGCAATCCCTGGAACAACCCACATGAAACAAAATCTGTCACTATGTTCTAAATCTTCGTTCTCGGC